GGAAGTCGAAATAATACGGCAAGTGTAGGTGACGTTGAACGTTTGACTGTCTGATGTATAAACTCGTCAAAATCAATATGAATTAAGTTTTCATATCTAAGTCCAATAGCGTTTTAATACCTACTACATACCTTTTTATTTTTAGTGTATCAAGGCATTGTAAAGTCAAATACTTTTACAAATATTAAAGGGCCCAAATTCATTGAGAACATAATGATTTATTACAAAGATATCGGTAAAAACGATTGGCTGACATTGTATCATGAGTTAATTGACGCAATGAATAAATGTACATAAAAAAGTTGGTTAGGTTATGTTTTAAATTTTATTGCAAAATATTTTTTTCAAAATTCATAGAAGATTCTTTTAACACTTGTTATATTAATATTACAAAACAAAATAAAGCACAATTTGCAATGTAGTAATGTGCGTTTTCAATTATGGGAAAAAAGTTATTATTTCTTTCTTTTAACGTAAAGTCGAAATTTTAAATAATTTCACTTTTCTAAATTGTATACACCCCCGCAAATAATTTTTTACTGTCGCATCACTAAAATCTTGCTCCCGTCTAATCTATAAAAGATTTCACGAAAATTTCGTTATTATTATCTGTATTTATTCTTGTATTTGAAATTTACCCCAATCCTTGTAAATGTTCGTAGAACTTCAAGGTATATTTCGTATATTCAGCTTATCATTCTGTGCGCCCAAAAATACGTTTCATATCATTTTTACTATGTTAAGTCGTAATGTGAACAGGACACACGTGTGACCCACATACACCTTGTACTTGACATTACACATATTACTCGATCAATAAGTCTTCCGATGATTTTCCAAAAGAAATGTAGAAACAGATTTTTTTTCACACGAAATTATATGCAACTTTCGACGTATGAAAATAATCAAAATTACTTTTCATAAAATGAAATAGACATTTATTTCAATCACATAAGTTTATACCAAATGTATACGTACAAAACATTTCATTCATTTTTGTTAAAATGTACGTATCACTTTGAAAATTGCCGTAGGTAAAAATTTAGCAAATACATACATACGAGGATATTATTCGATGTAACATTTCTACGTTACGTTTATAAGGGAAACTTTATACGAATGTTTATAATATAAATTGTATCGTTTATATTGTAATTGTACATAAATTCTAAGTGTCGATAAAATTTTTATTTAAAAATATCGCCACAAAGCTTTCGTAAGTTTCATCTTCATACAAGATGTTACACTTCAATTTTTTAACAAGTTAAAATTTCTAACAATAACACACGATAACTTTCTAATTGTTTAAATATTATCGATACTAAAAGCAACAAAATAATTTATACCCAATTAAATGTTTTCGCTATATCGAAGGGAAAATCACTTCTTATCGACATTTCCTTTGTTTCATAGGTTTTGCTTTTTCTGAATTCTCCGCGATGTATAATTGAATTGTGTTTTCTCAAACTAACGTCGTAGTCGTGAATTCATTGATGAAACACTTGTGACCATCGACGTAGTTCATAATTCACAGTTCCGGTTATTGCCTATAAATATTTTTTCGTAGAAACAAATTGTTCTACGTGTACATAAGTTTTGTTCGCCTATGCACATGCAGATATACCTATGTATATTAACGTCAAACCGGCTTCTCTAGAGTCAAAAGAAGGCAGCGAGTAATTTACGTGCATCGTTTAGTCGATAGCGCAGAAGTAACGTCACACAGTGTTCTATCGTAAGACATTTCCTATTAGAAACGTAAGTTTAAATGACTGCAATTACATATTTCACATGTTGTATCTTGGTTATGTTAATATATGGTGTGTGAGAACAATAAGGAAACTAAAATTTGTGTTTCTAAAATTGGATAACTAGATCGCGGGTTTTGATGCATTTATGGAAAATTTGAAGGCACAAAAATACACAGAATGCACGTGACAAGCAAAAATATATAAATGAGCCTAAAATATAGTACTCGTTGTAGTATTCAGCGAATAAAACAATTGTCGATCCAGCTTCTATTTTCTTAATTATACGAATTTGCATAAAAATCCGCAGTCTACTGATAACAATTTGATAATGAAAATATATTGACCTAATCTATACAGTTAGTTACACACATCCTTACTCTATCTTCGGAGAAAAATTCAACTGGCAAGTTTAAACATACATACTTTAAATATGAAATATCGTTTGTTTCCAGTTCAGTCTTACGGTGAATGCTCAAAATGTGCCCTTTGATCTTTTGTGTCAATCCCATAAGTTTTAAATTTAATAAAAACAAACATAAGCGCCTTCTCATTTCTCAACTTTGTTTTTTGCTTTCCAAGACCATTACAGAACTGCTGCAGAATTTGGTATGTCAAACGGGATGACTTAATAGACTTAAATAATTTCATCTGACGCATTATATAATTCTTTCGTATAATTTAAAATGAAGGGTGAAAGTCAAGAGACTTTGAAGACTATACCTCCATGCCTAAACCATGTACATATTACAGCGATGTTTCATTTTGGGCATTTTGAATAATTTGAGGGGGGACAATTATAAAATTATGCTGCATTCGTCATTTCATCATCGATATAGTGAAAAATTCAGCGTTGCAGGTGATAAATTATCGATTATTTTCCCGAGTTCAGTTCGATTTATGTTTTACAATACATATACAAAGTGTAATATACATGTATATTATATTGGTTGAATAACGTGAAATTAAAAACAGTTTTACCTATGTTTCCTTTTTATTTGAAGTAGATACCTATTTCTATTGTACTTTCCCGATTGCAGATCAACAAAATGGATCGCAGGTGTTCGAGGAGGCTGATGCTCGAAGTGCAGGAAAATGGAGAGGAGAGGCTGGCCTGTTATCAACCCCTCCTAACGGACATTTTCCACAACAGAACGTTGGACCAGTTAAATTCGAAATTCCAAAAGTGCCTGTTATATTTGTACTTGGTTTGTATCCTATAACCTGTAGAAATTTTCTATAGAATTTATGATAAAATTGCAAATCAACGCGCTTTGTCCTTTTTTTCAAATATTCGTGCTGCCGTATCAATTATCACAGATTTTATCTGTTCGCTGATGTTTAAAAGATATTTCATCATAATTGCTCTGTAACACGTAACCTTTTCATTTTTCAGGTGGTCCCGGTAGTGGAAAGGTGACACATTGTGATAATTTGATGCAAGAGAAAAAAGGCATAACGCATATCAATATGATGGACCTTCTGCAACAGTATGCGTTAGGGAACGGTACGAACATTGGAAGAAATAAATTAAAAAAGCACTTTCAGAAATATCGATGATTTTTTAAGAAAGACAAAATCTTTGATTCAAATAGAATAAATATTCGAATAAGCACGACATTACGGCAACTTTGTAAAATAATAAAAATGATACATTATGATAATTTCAACTTATCAAAAAATATATCAATAAATTGTTATAAATATAAATAAAAATCTATTTAAACGAAATGAAGGAATACCAACGTGTCTAATATTATTTTGGAAATTGCTACAACATTATTAGTTTCGTAGTTCCTAATTATTGTACATTTGTCCATTTATAATGGACAGCAAAAACCATGGAAATCCATTTTCCATTCAATTTGGCTGAACTGCTGCATGTCACGTAATATTTTTCTTCGTTTCATACATTAATATTGTTCGTTTTCACGATAGATATGCAAGATTTTGGGCAGCTTAGCAGTAAAACTGTTGCGGAGGTTCTTATGCTCGAAATTAAAATGTCTCCAGGTTCAAAAGTCTTTCTAGTCAGTGGTTATCCACGTAATATGCGCGATGTAGTTGAATATGCTGAAAAAGTAAGTAATTTAATGTTCAATGTGTCGACTACTGTCAATTTCGATTAATATATTTTCAGATAAAAATTGTGAATGGTGTGATTCTTGTGTCCTGGAGGCAAGAGATTCTCGAAAGGCAAATTGACTTTGGTGCACAGCTTGGACAAGTAGTGATCGAGCTAGCGAGAATGGAACTCTATAATTTTTATAGAAACGTTATGCCTGTTGCGGAATATTTCGATCAAAGTGGAATGTTATTAGAGGTACATGAAAGTTTTTATGTATCTTTCTTGAGAAACACAACAAATATACTCATTAACTGTCACTAAATGATCTAATTATTGCCTGTGATAATCTTAGGTGAACGGAGAAAGAAATCCGAACGAGGTTTATATCGATTTTCGTGAAGCGGTTTTCAAGATTCTCGGCCTGTCAGGCGGTGAAGTGCGAGAGAAAAATGTTCCTCAGTCTTTAGAAGCAGAAGTACGTTCTCCAGTTTTATACCACTGATACGTATTTACACCCCCTATCGGCTCTCTACTTTTTGTAGTTGTCATATAACCTTCTTATTCTTTACTTTATATAATCATCAAATTAATATTGTTCTCATTTTGTTACTTCATCGAATATATATTAACGTGGATCAAATTACAGGTAGAAGTCGAAAGGAGAAAAGAATCCATTCCGAAATCGTCGCCCCTTAAGAAAGAGATAGTGACTGAGATGATGCAGATACCTGTCATGGTGAACATACAGCCTATGAAAACCGCAAATAAACCTAGAAAAGGATTACCCGCGTTCATCTGGGTTATAGGTAAAGGAAAAGCATTTAACAGTGAAATAACAGCGGGGAACTCCCGCGTTATACGTGGTCCGGGGAAATTAACCGAATAAGTAGAACGCGATTTTGATATCGCTCGCGGTTGGAAAGTTAAAGCTAATCTATTTAATTAGGTGAAATTTCTAACATGCGCGACTTGTGACATTCTGATTGTACTAGGTGGCCCAGGGAGCAACAAAGAAAGTCTATGCACTCAAGCAGTTCACAACATGCCTGGTTGGGTTCATGTAAACATAGGCGAGCTACTCAGAGCAATGACATCATCGAACACTATTGTTAAGGAAGCTATTGTCAGTGGAGAAATGGTCCCGCAGGACATAGTGATGCAAGTAGTGGAGCAACAAATCATACAAAATCGTGATACGGATGGCGTAGTAATAGATGGTTATCCGAGGGACTCAAATCAAGTACAAGAGTTTGAAAATAAGGTAACGTAAAGTGAAGTAAATGACGTATAATTCTTTTAAATACTACAAAAAATTGGAAAAACACCATCCACTTAATGATTAATATAAAGAGTCTTTTTTCCACTAACGGCGTTATGTCTCTATTACAACATACATGACTTAATATGTTCAGCAAAGTTTAGATGTGAAGGATTTACACATGAAAATTCTAAAAGTACTCTTCCCGGCAGTTGAACGAATTTGAAAATTTAAATTTTATTTAAAATATAGAGAGGCTGTAAAATAAATTTGAACAAAGTAAATAATTTAAGTGTGTGAAAAAGTATAATCTTACCATATAAAAATTTGATTAGAATGAACATTTCAAAATGTTTCTTAATAAAAGTTATGGATGAAGAATAAGTTTATTGAATATGAATCATTTCGATTTTATCAGTTCGGTCAGCAACCACCGTTGGTACTACTAGACTGCTCAAAATTACAACTTGGTAGGGGAAGATTAGATGATAGCGTTTCCGCATTCAGGAAAAGATTGGAACTCTTCCGCGAAGTATCGCTGCCTATGTTGAAATCTCTGGATAATGAAAATCGCCTGACTATTGTAAGTACAATCAGAGAATAATATATTCTCTTACTGCAATGCACAAGACTGATATTAGCATTAATTATTGATATAGATAAAGTAGTAAGTGTGACCTTTTCTCATGTACATATATGTATATCAAACTTATAAGTTTGCTTACGGTAAATTACTTTAAATTACATTATCTAATTAAAGAGATCTACCACTTCATCGATAGCACTAATTACATTAATTCTAAATTCCTACCAAACAGTAATACACTATCCTTTTCAAATAAAATAGATGAAATTATTTACAAGAAAATAATTTTAAATACAGATCGATGGCGACACGGACGTACCAAGTGTACAACAAGAATTCGCGGCTGCACTTTATCAATTAATGACGCAAACGCGACGCAAGGGAGAAAATGATTCACATAGTCCTGAACCACCGATAGTACAAGAAAACGGAAATAACACGAACTCAAATCCAATCATTACTAATGACACGAACCAAACGATCATTCAAAATGGTGTTTCTAGGCAGATAATCGACGGTAAAATGAATATAGAAAAAGCGATTAATGATTCGAAGAATATGAACGGAATAAGCTTACAAGGTAAACATTACTATCTTAATTAGTCTTTTTTATTTTTGCAATTTTTAAAATATGTACATATATTGTTCAGTCGTGTAAACTGACCGGACCTTTAATTTGAAAAATCCGCGAGACGACCAAGTTGCTGAGGTATTATTTGCAATGGTTTCTTGTTCATATTTAATTATGTTTTGTTTTGTTATATAAAGGATCAATGTTATTACTACTTTTTGTTTTTTTACTTTGTTTCTGAGTAAATCATTTAACATTTTTATATCTTAAAAGTACAAATAAAACTTTTAATAGGTTATTATATCATGTATTACGTTGAATTGTAAATCCGCATTGGTTACAGGCTATATGATACTTAAGTTTATAATATAAATAATATTTTAAATGTCGATATAATAAGAAAAATCGCTAAATTTGAACGAATATGTTTCATTGATTATTTTTCGATTGTCACTGAATATTTGTTATTCGATTACGCAAATAATAAACGTATAATGACAATTGACATGCTTTACGCTACTGTTTCTCAGCAATTTCATTCCGTTATTAATGAAACAGAAAAATGAACATATATTATTTCTAGATGTATGGAAAACATTATTTATGAATTAAACATTTTGTTTAAATAAAGTGACGTGTAAGAAGTGTTAGTGTAGTGAAATATCCAAAGAAGTGAAAAATCAAAGTAAAATTTAATTTATTGTCATTTTTCATTCGTAGGCGCAGTAAAAATCGCGAATGGATTAAAGAACAATGCGAGGCAGATTCAAAAGAATGGTACTGCTCGTATACAAAATGGTATTGCTAACGGCACAACACACCTGCTACAAAATGGTGCAGCGCATTTGGCCAACGGCATCGTAGCAGGTAGCAATAAAGTTGCACCAGCAGTGCAAAATTATCTGCCAAACAATACGAAGGACGCTATCAGGAAAATGTACAACGAAGTCGAAGGTTATCAACAGAATTTACACATGTAATTAAGTACATCACGTGAAATTGTTGTTTAAACCAAAGGAAGAGAGAAAAAACAGAAATATTTTTAATATACTTTTTATAAAATTAATCACGTTAATATTTACGAAACTAAATGGACACTCAAGGTTCCTTTCTGATAAAATATAGTACGTATTATAATGTTATTAATATGTGTATTTGCATCGTGCCTTAAGACGACTACGACTTAAATAGGGTTAGACAAGGGACTTAAGGAAAGCCAAACGCAAATTTAGATCCGCAGGTATATAGACTAAGAATCAAATATAAAATCGAATGTTTAAAGAAATAAGGAAATCCCAGGACTACATACTTATATGCGTTTAAATATAGTAGGAAATTGATATTAGTTTAATTTTTTTCCTTCTTTTAGTTTTTCCTTTCTTTTATGTTTCTCTTGTTTAAACATTACAGAAACTACATAATAAACAAACAAAACATGTGACTAATAATGAATTAAAGTAATATACATATATTACCTATTTATATAACGAATATTTGACTTAAGTAAGCACTTGATGTAAGATAAATCATTTGTGGTAAAATTGATCACACAGAAAACACAAATTCCTTTAACTTACTGTTTAGGATATCACCTATCTAGCAATATTTCAGTCGCTAGTAAAATTAAACAAGTTTATGCACGCTTTTTAGTTAAGAATTGGCAATTATACTAAACAGGAATAGCTCTTGTTAGTTTCGAGTTCAGTCTGATAGTGACCGCTTAAGACCATTTTCTGAACACTGATCGAGAAGAAATCGACTATCGTCTTCTGAGTTTCATGCGTGTTTGAGCGTTGCCGGACTTCCGATAAATAGGTTGAAATAAGAGAAATGCATCTCAACACTGGAATATATATATCATCTTGAAAATTGTCGAATGGCTATTGTTTATACCTAGCTTATTGCTAGTAGTTGTGCGTTATCAAGGCGGAATGAGACAGTTTAAAAAAGACAGCTATAGCTGCTCGTTCATCTGATTGTGAGTACATGATACCTAATGGGAAATATTGAGGTCCTTGTTTATTTTAGATACTTAACGCCGGAGACTCACTTCATGAAACCATTTCCAAGGGGATAGCAACTACCTTAAATCTTGATAACTATACCAATAATCATATTTTTGTCATCTTCAATGACCTTGAACGAGCTTTAACACCGTCTATCACACAGCGATGAACAAAATACAGCATCCCGTTTCAAAAAGTAGAGTTGACCTTGAAAACTCCTCTACGCTTCTACCCGTGTAAAAAATATTTGCACCACATATGGCAACATAATTTTTTATATTTTTTCACGGGCAATAATTATAATATGACAGTATTATTACTCGTCAATTATTAAGAGCTATAGTATAATACTATCAAGATGAAGCTGCTTTTTAAAATAAAAAAAAAACGTATACTTATATGATATTTTTGTGACATTCTTTCGATATACAATAAAAGTTCTATAAGAGTTCTTTGGGATCTGTACGCGAACGGTTCATGGTCTATCCCCACCACAAGGGGGAACCACCCTTGAACCAGGCAAGCGACTAATGTGACACGGCCGCGGCATCTCTTTATCGCATTCGGCGTCGGCATGTCCGTGAGACAAACTAACAAAACTACAAAAGTTTGTTATTTTCAGTTTTCGTTAATAAAAATTTCATCAAAATATTGGTGAGATTTTCCTGATTAAAATGATACCAAACACGATATTGTTACAAAACTTGGTTGTGTCGATTGGGCTTGTGAATCTTCCTTTGCCCGCTACGTTCATTTCACTGTTTACATCACAGAATGTAACACCATTTCTCTTAGCTGTACCAAAAGGTAACCGTTAACCAGAACTAGAACTGAATCTATCCGGTTATTCTCAAATGGGACACTCTTTTTAAGGATAACGGTTCCTAAGCGGCATTGCCTTTGATCCGTTAGCGTATAGGAAGAAACGAAATTTGACCTCTGACGAGTTTAAAGGACACATAAGAATACACATAAGAGTTGTTATACATACTAACGTTTACACTACTCAGGACTCTTTACAAGCAGTTCGCAAGCAGTTTGCGAACAATTATAATTTACTAATATGTTAAAAATTTTACTAATAAAAGGTTCGTATGTGTTGAAGGTTCTGGGGTATCAATTTGTTGTCCCTCACAGTCCTCTTACCAGAAGACCATCGTCTTCCCCACTCCGTGGCCAGACCCTTCGCGAACAATATTCTTATTTTTAAAGCAATGCAATGTCGGTTTGCATGTTTTGTAAATCCTTATATGTAATCTTTTTTAGGTGTCTTGTATTTAATAGATATAGTAAAGACATAATAAAGTGTGGATGTATGTAAATATCTATTAATTATTTATAGGGAGGGCGTAATTATGTGTGTATGTACATATGCATGTGTGGAATTTCTTATTAAGTAACTAAATATAAATCGAATTATACCATGTTTGGTCTCATTTTAATCAAAAAAAAAAAAAAAATGGATATGTCAGTAAAATTTTTATCAGCAAAACGCAAAAAACAAAAAAGTTTTTCTTTTGTATTAGTGTTGTCTCACCGATATGTAGGTGTTTGATATTTTAGGACTGGCTCAACTTTCAATACCTCTCTCTTCTTTGTCTGCTATCTCTTTCTGCGTCCGTCGGTGTCGGTAAAATACAAAGAGTTTGAGAAACCTACCACCTTTTTCGTAGCTGTTACACAGCGGTCCCGACTTTGGAACTCTTACCGAACCTTTACTGTAATTCCATATCCTATTGTATAGCCGTCGTATTTACTATGATAACGGGGACGATGGTGGGAGATGGCAGTCGAAGCTCTGGAGCTTAATTGGACATGCACTTTATAAAAATTCCAGAAAAAAACTACTGCCTTCCTTAAGGGAAAAAAAAACTATAATAACGACTTAAAAAGGCCAAAATGGTGACCCAGTAGTTCATTCAAGGTTATTTAGACAATGCTCCCGGTCGCCAGAAAATAAAATTTATGAAGTCCGCGGTCGACCAACCGTACGACTTCACTCATCTCAACCTCCTACTCATATTACTGCATGAGATGATATAAGCAAAGCAATAATGTTATTCATCTGTTGTCGAACACCTTGTACATTAGAATTAAACAATGAAACAGTTATAGTATTAATATACGTAAGCGAGACAGGAGTGAGAACAAGTGTTAAGTGATAACTGTCACATAACTAAGATCCACGAGACAGTTCTAATTTTCAGGTATATGATTAGTCTGGAAATTATATAATATTTCATATTACAGGGAGTTCTACTTTGTAAGGAAATGGGTACCCCAGTACGTGTTTATTTTTTATTATAAATAAAATCTTTTTATGTATATGCTTGGGATATCCACTTTTATTCAAACTAAAGAAACACAATACTATCATAGAACAATATTACTATTAAGCTGCGAGAAAGACTTTCTACTCGACATTTTCGTTCACGAAAGGTCAGTAGTTTGTTTATTTCCACTTGGATTTTCATGTATTCCGCGTAATTTATGTAGCGCTTGCCACTATATTTGTAAATAACTAGAAAAACTTGTAAAAACTGAAAGAATGTACACTCTAACTGCAACATAAACGTAACCTAACATTTAAAGTATATTAACCCAACTTCAATTCCTTAATTCCCATGTAAACTAGAGAAGGAGAAATCGTCAGTTGACTTACCCCTTATATCCACCCATAATTAACCGTATCGCATTCCTATTATAGCAAAAAATAAATCATTCCGAAGAGAGTGTCCCTTCAGAATACCCTACATAAGTAAGCCACGCAACACTGCACAGCATGAACACAGGCATATTTTTCCCTCGATTGTTGCACAAAAAATAACCTTGAGTTGAACCCCACAAGTTGAAGACTTAATTATAATACAAGTGCAAAGCATTAAGTAACCAATTGACAAATTAAAATAAGTTACCCTTAGTACTTTAAATAGAAGTTTACTGTTCAAGATATTCAAGTCCAAACAAAAGTTAAAAACATCTGTTACGCATAGCTGAACATTTGTTACGTATACAATAATGTTGCTTATTATCCCAGATAGGAAAATGATGTCATGTTGCGCTCAGCTGAGTTCATATATTGATGTAATCAGATCTCAAACACATACAAATACGTGTGCATATGCTACTCAGATATCGTTTATGTCACGATGTCAAAAAAATATCTTATATGACAGCATTATGATAATAAAACTCGACATATATTATACACTCGTATCATGTTAATCATGTAATGATCTTCAAAAATATATTAAGTTGAAATTACTAGTATGACAATCATATTGTGATGAAACGTGATCATTATGCATTTCTATCTGGAATGTTGCTTTAATCACAATAAAATAGTACTATTTGAAAATTTCATAAACGTTCTATCTTCTAATTTTAAATCATTCTTTCAATACATATACATACAATAAATTTTTGCTAAAATAATTTAGATTTTTTGTACTTACAAACTGATTACGTGTAAAACATAAAATGTAAAACGTCGCAACATTATATTGGTAAGACTTTAATAATCAATTACATACTTCAATGCAACAAAACGTATAAAAAATTGTCAACTTTCAAAAGGATTTTATGAGTACTTAGAATTCTTACTTGTAATTGTAATCGACTATAAATTTATTAACAACTCAAGAATAAAAAATATGCAAATGTTATATAAAAAGTAATTTGCATTTTTAAAATATATAAAAATTACAAAATTTAAATATAATA